GGGGTGGGGGGGTGGGGGGGGTGGGGGTGGGTGGGAGGAGTTAGACCACGGCACATGCGCATGACAGTCAGCAGGGTGGGCTCATTTTATCCTCTGCGTGGAGGGCTTTCTTCCCCTCTCCGTAACACATCGGGAAGAGGCAGTCTCCACCTTTGGGGCCAAAGCCTGATCCTGATTCCATGGCACCAACTGCAAACTGAATGCCCATGGGCCAAATATGGTGCCAGCAGTAACAACAACGAAACGCTTAGCCTGTGATCTTTAAAAGAAAGAACTAATGCCTGGAATTTAAAAAGTGGGGAATTCCACCTAAGAAAATCAGACTATCTGACAAGGGCCTGTATTTCCATGGCAACCATCTGCCAGTGCAGAGTGACAGCCGCCGCATACAGCCAAGGCACACGCTCCCCGGTACCACAGTCCCTGCCGCTCCTCTTCATGACGTCTGTGACATCTGAACTGTGCTCACTCTAATGGAGTTTCAGAATCCAGCTGGGGTCAAGTGTGCACCTTTGGTTCCCAACCCCGTGGCCACAGCAGGGGAGGCTTCAGGGAGGTCATCAAGGGGTCCAGTGCGTACCCCCGCCCCCAAGCAAGGCCTGTGGACCTCAGTGGGTTCCTACAAACAGGACTGTCATTGGGCAGACACCCCCGAGTGGTTTAGTTGAAGGCAAAGGAAATGAAGGCCCAGAGCCCACTCGTTACACAAAACATGTTATAACCCAGGTTTTAGGTCACAAAGAAAGCGTCCGCCAAGCAGAGACAGTAGGCCTGGAGGGGAGAAGGGGAGGTTAATTTGAACACTGTGAAAAGCATGGTGTTTATGAGTCGGACTGGGCCGGGGCAAGCCGCTCTGCCTTAGGCAATAGGTTAAAGGGTAGTTCATCAAGACTGGAACCCGGGGCAAGGCACAATGGCACTTAGGTAGGAGAACTGTGACTCCTGGGTCTGCCGGAGTGACCTAATGAGAGCCTGTTTCCAGAAGAGTTGTGGGAGAGAGGTCTAGGGAGGAAATGCAGGTGATAAAGCACTTGCCTAGCGCCCATGAAGCTCCGGGTTTGTGGATCCCCATATCTACATAAGCCAGGCTTGGAGTCATACGCCGGTAACTCCAGCACTTAGGGAGTGGAAACAGAAAAATCAGTTCACAGTCATCCTCAGCTATATAGTGAGTTCAAGGTCAGCCTGGGCTACCAGAGACCCTATCTTAGAAAACAAACATAAACAAACAAACAAAAAAACCAAACCAGCATGTGCCTTTAATTTCAGCCCTCAAAAGGTAGAGGCAGGCAGATCTCTGGGAGTTCCAGGCCACAGGGCCTTATTTCAAAATAAAAATGAAAACAACCCCCCACCCCAAACAAATGAAATAGAAAAGATGGAGATCACTGAGAGGAGCAGGTCTGGAGAGGAGATACAGAGGCTGGTTTTGGTGATCTGGGCAATGTTGAGGTTGTGGTGCTGTGCCCAGGGTTGTGTAGAAATGGTGACGTGGTAGCAATCACCCTTTGGAGGAAGTTGGGGGCTTGAGATACGGACTGAGTCCTCACAAGGAGAGAAGAGGCAGAGACAGGGACACAGTCTAACTGTGGGAAGGGTGAGGAGGGCACAGAGAGGGACTACCCGCAGAACTGTGAGGAGCAGCGCTTAGAGAGTGGAGCACAGCCTGATGCACACAGTAGGGCAACAGGGGTGCAGTCCCTGCAGAAGTCCAGCTGGCAGAGTTTTTTTTTTTTTTAACGTTTCTACAGGTTTATTCTGTTTACTCAGAGAACTTTCTGGTGCTTTTAAATTTAATCCCAGGACTCTGGAGGCAGAGGCCTGGAGGATCTTAATGAGTTCCTGGCCACCCTGGTATACGCATAATGAGCCCTTTTCTAAAAACACAAAGTAAAAACAAGTGTATCAACCAAACATTCTCAAACCCAGGCGGAGGCACCTTGAAAAATTCCCACCTCACTGCTTATTCGTATTCCTAGGAGGTAGATAAGATGAGGAAAAACCTGGAAACCGACGCTCGCTTCCAACGATGAGCCTAGGCTAGAACCTGGGCACTCCAGAAAGCGGAAAACTGGAAGCCAGAACACCAGAAGACGGGAGGACGCCAGCGTGTAGTTTTAAGGTGGCAGGATGGTATCACCTGAAAACCTGAGGCAGAAGGATTACTGAGAGTTTGAAGCCAGCCTGGGCTACAGAGTTAGACCCTGTCTCAGACACCAAAACAGGGGTTGGGGGGGTGGCTCAGTTGGTAAAATACTTGCTGTTCAAGCGTGAGTTCAATCCCCAGAACCCCCATAAAGCCAGGTGTGGTGGCATGCACCTGTCATCCCAGTACTGGGGAGGTGGAGACAAGGATCCCTCCGGCTTGCTGGCCAGCTAGTCTACCTAAATGGTGAGCTCCAGGTTTAGTCAAAGACCTTTTGTCAAAAAATACAGTGGAGGGTTGGAGAGATGGCTCAGAGGTTAAGAGCACTGACTGCTCTTCCAGAGGTCCTGAGTTCAATTCCCAGCAACTACATGGTGGCTCACAACCATCTGTAATGAGATCTGGTGCCCTCTTCTGGACTGCTGTCATACATGCATAATAAATAAATAAATCTTAAAAAAAAATACAGTGGGGAGCAATTGAGAAAGATACACATGGACCTCTGGCCGTGTGTGTACATATACACCCCAACCCAAAATAAATAAGTTGTCAAGAGTGCCAAGCACTTAGAGAAGCCAAGGCTTGGAGGTGACCTTTCGGTCTTGGCAACTAACAGTGAGTGTGATCAGAGAGCATTAGTGGGATAGCTGAGCAGAAACCAAAGAGGCCTGGGAATGAGTGGGCAGTGAGGATGAGAATCAGGGTGTCGATTCTTCCAGCAGTGGGGGATGGGAAAAAAGAGAGTCATCTAAAAGTAAAGAGTCAGCACTCAGGAGTCAGAGGCAGGAGGATCTCTGTGAGGTCGAGGCCAGCCTGGTCTACAGAGTGAGATCCAGGACAGGCACCAAAACTACACAGAGAAACCCTGTCTCGGGGGAAAAAAAAAAAAGGCAAAAGGAGAGGCTGGAGAGATGGCTCAGTGGTTAGGAGCACTGGCTGCTCTTTCCAGAGGACCGGGGTTCAAGTCCCAGCACCCACAAGGCAGCTCACAACTGTCTGTAACTCCAGTTTCAGGGGATCTGACACCCTCACACACACATACATACAGGGAAAACACCAATACACATAAAAGAAAACAACATTTAAAAAGAGCAAAGTTTGTGTCAAACCAGGGGAGGGCATGGATGCTGTCATGAGCCAGGTGTCCCTGACGCCTCGCTCTGGGAACTCCCAGTGCCCTCCCCAGGTGTCAGCTGCTGCTCTGTTTGGGCTGTCCACAGTGAAAGCTCCTTCCGGCTCACAGTGGGAATTATCCTATGAGAAGGCCCCAGCCCTGTGGCTGGGTTTTCCCCTCCGAATTGAGTTTCCTTGATCTGATTATCTTGGGCTTGCCTTGCTGGGTGACTCAGGAGCTTGGGCAAGGTTAGGTAGTAGGTTTCACAGCTCTGGGGGCGGTTAAGCCTGATCTCTCCTGATAACTGGGGAATAGTCATTAGATATTGACAAAAGCATCACTTTTGGGCCCCAGCTTCAGAACAGAAGACTCTCCAAGCCTTGATACTTAAATAATAGAATAAGAATACCATCATGGCTACGACTCCTACAGGGGTTGCGTATCAGATATCCTGCCTATCAGATATTTACATTAGGATTCATAACAGTAGCAAAATTAGAGTTATGAGGTAGCAGCGAAATGATTTTATGGTTGGGGGTCACCACAACACGAGGAACCGTATTAAAGGGCCGCAGCAGCGTTAGGGGGGTTGAGAACCACTGCTCTAGGGGCTATTGAGAGCTGGTAACCTTGCCAGGAAAGGTTCTGCGGCCCAGAGGCCGGATCTGGGAGGCGAGTTTTCACCCTTTGCCTTCTGCCAGGAGGAAGCTGCCAGTCGGATGAAATGGCTACCCCGGGGCAGCTAGCGAGTGGCTGCCCAGATTCCATGTCCTGAACCTCTGTGCACCACCCTGCACTTCTAAGGCTGTCTCCAGGCCACCCAGTCAAGCCTGTGGTTGAGGAACAAGTGACCCTCGGAGGAGAGGGTCTTGGGCAAATGGCTAAAAAACAAGGCCCTTCCAAGAACCCGCTTTCCCTCCAGGAGTTCCGCTGCCAGGGAAGAGAGGAGCCTGTGAGCGCTTCTGAGGCTCGCATCACTCGAGACCCCTTTTGGTGGCCTCCTCCACACAGCTTAGATAAAGAGTCTATTTATTAGCTTCCCCCAGAGCGGGTTCTGGAAGCTGGATCTGGCCTGAAGCAGAAGTTGTCCCTGAGCCACGCCTCCTTCCTCCAGCCTACCTTCCTTGCCCCTCCCACTGGGTTCCCCAGACACCCGATTTCTCTCTCCAGTGTCCCTGGGCCCAGGGCACAGTGTCACTCTCTTCCTGAACTCTGCCTGCAGCGAGGACAGCTGTGCCTGCCCCTCTTGTCAGTGCACACTTCCAGAGGTTTCTGTGGAATTCAGGCTTCAGTAAACACTTGAGGAGGAGGAAGTGAGCCAAGAAACGAGAGTCCGATTGCATCAGGACTGACGCACACCCTGCCTTTCCCCCACCGCGGTCTCCGAGAAGCCCTCCCTCCCTCCTTTGTCCCGGGGGAGGGCAATGCGAGCCTTGGACCGGCCCCAGACCTTCTTTTCTCCCTTGGGTCTAGGGAAGAGGCTAATGCTGGCCAAGAGGGGAAGCTGAGGCGGGGCCTCAGGACTGAATTGTATGTGTCTGTTCTTCTGGACCTGGAAGAGAGCTACCTAACAGCCTGAAGGCTGCGGAGAGGGCAAGAGTGAAGCGGCCAAAGGAAAAAGTCCCCAAAGCCCGGGAAGTCGCGTTTTCGGGTGTGTCAGCCAGAAGCTGGTCTCCGTAGGTGTGAAACAGTAACAGCCGTGCAGGCCAGCTTAGGAAGCAGCGGCTGCTTGGTCAGAGACCCCGATTCCTAAGCACGGGCCCTGGGTGGTTTATAGGTCCTATCTTACTGAATTCCAGCAACACCTCTCGGGGTTGGTCTGATTAGGAGCATCCTTTTTTACAAGGAAAGACATTGAAGGGTTAAAGTTCAGAGCCCTCCAATGTTGCTAAATTGAGCTTTGGATGGTCTGCATCTGTGTGCTGGGTGTGAGTGTTTTGTCCCGGAACTCACTCTGTAGACCAGGCTGGCCTCAAACTCACAGAGATCCAGCTGCCTGCCTCTGCCTCCGGAGTGCTGGGATTAAAGGGTTGTGCCACCACCGCCCAGCTGCTTGTTTTCAAGTCAGGGACTTGCTGAGAATTCCAGGCTGGCTTCAAACTCATGACCCTCCTGCCTTGGTCTCCCCAGTCCCAGGATTACAGGCAAGCACCATTACGACCAGCTGGTCTTCTCATCCTTAGCTTTGTTGAGCTCACACACCTAACTCCTAAGTGCGTGGCTTTTCTTCAATGCCTCTCAGTTTGGCTTGGGTTTCACATCTTTCTGTTTTCCCAGGAAGTAACAGAGACAGCAAGCACCTCGAGAGGCCTGGTGGCAGGCTGAGGTAAGGGGTGTGGGGCAGAATAGCTCAGCTTAGTAATACAGGGATTGCCAGCAAGCGTCGGCCTCAAGTTCAATCCCAGGTACAGAGACAGAGACAGAGAGAGACAGAACCAGCACCTGCTTTGGTGCTTTCCATCCTGGCTCATCCCATCTGCCCACTCAGCTTTCCCTAGGGACTGCCAGCTCTCTGTCGCTGACCGACTGTTCCCTCAGATCTGCCAGTACTTGACCCAGGGCAGGTCTGAAGGAAGACACATGGATTCCTGGAGGAGCTGCGAATCTGAACCTAGGTCTACCTGGCTCCCTCAGAGCTTCTTCCATCCTTGGCCTCCATCCTAGGTCCCTCGGCCCTCGAGGTCTAGTAGAGGAACTGAGAAGCCAGGAGCCAAGGCAAAGGAGATCAGAATCCTTCTCCTCGTCTCTCCTTCCATTTTCCAGAAGCCAGGGAGAAAAATGAAAACTCAACTGTGCCCCGCACCAGCCTCCGCCCCAACTTAAGGAACGCAAAAGGTGAGAATAATGTAAAAAGTGTCACCATGGTAACAGCAGTGCCAGGTGTGTTGGTGAATACTTAGTTTCTGGAGCGTGGAGGGGAGGGCCTGAGCAGTGCCCGGCTGAGGAGCTACAAAGCGGCATTTCATTTGTCCTCTGTAATGGGACATTACGGGAGACTTTCGCTTTTCATTGCCTCCATTTTCTTCTAAGTGGAAGGGGAGGCAAAGAAAAAAAAAATCATTTCCCTTCCTTTCCCACCTACTCAGAGAAATGCCAGGAGACTCGATCATTCCCTCCAGAGCCGCCGCTGGTCAGGAAACCTTATCATCACTTAAATCGCTCAATTTTAAAGGTTTGTGAAAGCTACACCAAATTGATTCCTCCCCCCCATCTCTTCTCTCTGATTTCCGCGGTCTCCCTTCTTTAGAACCGCGTTTGCCCAGAGCAGGACAGCAAGTGTAGATGGATACTTGAGGTATTCTGTGGTGTGGGAGCCAAAAAAATAAAGAGCGTTTTAGAGGGTACCAAGTTCCTGTCCCCTCCTGCCTTCCCAACCACTTCTGTATTTATTTTTGTCCAGGATCTGTCGGAAAGGGGTTGGCTGGAAGATTCTAAACTCTATTTAGCTCCAGGCCTTCATCACTGCTGAGCTGGGAATTTTATTATCACAAAGAGGGGAAGAATCTTAGAAGTCATCTGGCTCAGAGATTCTCCAATGTTTAGACTTTATCAAAACTGAAAGTTGGAAAAATGAAGAGGGAGGTGGAGATGTCTGAGAGCTTTTAGTCTGAAATTCACAAATGTCAGATAAACATAGCTACCTTGCGTGGCAACCATCGCTTTACATTCGCAGACCCCCAAAAGGAGGGTGGTTTCATTCTCTTAGTGAGGTGGCCTTAAACAGGAGCATTTAGCACACAAATGTACACACTTTAAGCGGGGACATGGTGGCACATGCCTGTAATCCCAGCACTTGGAAGGTGGAGGGAGGCAGGAGAACCACGCATTCCAAGTCATCCTCAGTGACACAGCAAGTTCAAGGCCAGCTCGGCTTTATGAGACACTGAAAAAAAAAAAATTCACCGTTTTATTCATATTTTTCTCTTTCTTTCAGGCATTAGCTCCAGACAGAGGGTAGACATTTGAAAACTCCTGACTGGTTTGCTGCTCTTTCTTGTTCATTTGTTTTCAAGACAGGGTTTCTCTGCGTAGCCCTGGCTATCCTGAAACTCACTCAGAGTTCAGGCCCTGGCTGGCCTCAAACTCACAGAGATCCACCTGCCTCTGCCTCCCGAGTGCTGGGATTAAAAGTGTGCACAACCAACGCTGGTGGTTTGCTACTCTTAAAATATATATCACATATTTTTTTATGTATGTGTGGAGTTATGTCTGTATGAATGCATTCGCATTGTGCAGATGCCCTCGGAGGCCCGAAAAGAGCATCGGATCCCCAGCTGACATGGGTGCTGGGAACCGTCTCTCCAGCCCTCGTTTGCTTTTCTTTGTCTTTTTTTTTTTTTTTTCAAGACAGAATTTCTCTGTGTAGTTTTGGTGCCTGTCCTGGATCTCACTCTGTAGACCAGGCTGTGGTAGATCGACCGAGTGCTGGGATCAAAGGCATGTGCCACCGCCGCCTGGCTGGTTTGCTTTTCTTATAGGTATCTCTTGGAGACAGAGTTCTTACTGTTTGGTTAGCTCTGGTAGCTGGTGCACCCATTTCCTTTCCTTTGCGCAGGGATAAGTGGAAGTCCCTGGTGAGCTAAGTCCTAAGTGAAGGTGTGTTTTGACATTCAAATGGTCATATTGAGAACTCTAAGGTCTCAGATTTACGGGACAGTTTGGTAAAGCTCTTACCCATTGTTGGGGCCCAGTCCAAACAGTCCTTGAAGAGAGGAATGAGGGCTGAGAAATAATAGATATGAAAAATAGAGATGTAGACATAAAAGAAAAAGACAAAGACGCAGAATAGCTTCGGGAGGGCTCTGGGTCAATACCACAGTCGCCTCGAGTTTATTCCTCATGGTGTATAAAAACACCAGCAAGGGGAGAGGCAAAAGACCTCCCCTTTCAAGCTCAAGGTACAAAGTACAAACAAGTGTAGACCCTTCCTTAGATTTCAAAACACCTGGTAACCAAAGGTTACGGCAAAGCATCTTGTAATTAGGCCTGGAAGTATAAGACACCTTATAACCACACCTTTGGCCAAAACATCCTATTATGCAGCCATGTAGGGCAAAGCAAACTTGGACTCTCTGACCTTCAGTGAAGATTGAAACAAACCACAAGTTGGAATCTTTGTGGGCACCCACAACTCTTATGGACCAGGCTCAGGAGAAATGGCAAGGCTTTCCTTGGGAGTCGAGTATGAGTGTTTGTGAACCATTGTCCAGTGTGAGCAAAGACGGACAACCACAGCTCCCCGCTCCCGATGTTCACAGCCTGAGGTTGCTCTCCTATAGGGATCTACTACCAAGACCAGCTATCCCTTCCTCTGTGTTGTACACAGTCAACTCATTGAGGTAGGTCCCAGGCAGTGGTTAGAGAACCCCAGTTGACCCTACGGATCAAGGGTCACCTGTATGGGTGTCTGTCTTCTTTCCCTCGCTGCCCTAGCCAGAGTTCCAGGACCCCAAGTCACACAGGGTGGTGCCTTTGATGAATCAAGCCTTGACCACTCCTTAAATTTCTTTTCCGACTTCCTCACCTCCAGGCAGACTGCATGTCCCTTCCTTATTCTTCTGCAGTTACCATTTTTGTTTTCTCATTGTGGGGGGCTGTAATCACCCCAATACAATCATGTCAATTTCTTTTTAAATGTCTTAAAATTACATTTTTTCCCCCAGAGCTATGGACTGAACCTAGGGCCTTGCACTTGCTAGGCAAGCGCTCTACCACTGAGCTAAATCCCCAACCCCAAAATTACATTTCTTT